CATCACACAAAGCATAAAATGGCAGTCAACTGTACCTGTACCTCAACTTCATCGACTTTGAAAAGGCCTTCGACAGAGGCATTGACCGAGAAGTAATTTGCCAGCTGCTGCTTCAACACTAAGGTTTTAGTGCCACAAATCGCACAAGTCGCACAAACTCAAAGATCTACAGCCGAAAACTAATAAGTTGACAGAAGATACAAAGAAGTGAAAACGGGACTGTCTTCAGGTGAATGTAAAGAAGATGGAGGTGATGAAGATACCCAACCAAAAACAACACGAATAACAACAAGAGGCACCAATCACCATCAACGGGAGAAACATAAACGAAGTAGTCTCTTTCATCTACCTACCTACCTAGACAGCATCGTTTCAACTACAGGCAGCGGCACAGGCACAGATGAAGAAGTCAAAGCTAGCCGGGATCGGAAAAACAGCAAGATAGGCCTTCCTTCAACAATCTGAAATCAGTGTGGAGATCTACTGCACTGCACTGCACTCAGCATAAAGCGTGAACAACATCCAGATTTTCAATACCAACGTCAGTCAACTCAGTGCTTCTATATGTGATGGTTCAGAAACTTGGCGTGTCACGAAAAGCACTTCCAACAAACTACAGACATTCATCAACAGCTGCCGCCTATATTCACTCGATACTGACGATGACGATCAGATGACCAGAATAATAAGAATAAGCAACAAACAACTTTAGCTGACAACGAACCAACGAAACAAGAAGCTATCACTCAACAAGGACGCAGGAGAAGAGAGTGGAGATGGATTGGGCATACACTGAGAAGGCCGACTGGGGACATCACGCGCCAGTCCAGGCACTGGAGTGGAACCCAGATGGGAAAAGACGAAATAGGCGTCCCACCTGAGGGTGACATGGAGGAGATGATGTGTGAGGAATAAATGAGAGATTGTGAGCAGTCGTGGAGCTAGGTTGAAAGACTGCCGAGAAGAGAGTGGAATGGAGGCGTGCAACTGAAGCCCTATGTTCCAGTAGCAACCCAATGGGAAATAATAATAATAATAATTTACATAAAACCCCTAAATACGATTACTTGATTGATAAACACACAAAAATGCTTTTACATGAGTAGAAATCAATTCAAAAGGTGTTAGGATGAAACTATGAAAAACAAATACTGTATGATAGATATTTCTACTGAAGTTTTTGTTCAAATGTAACATATCTCCATAGATATAGGAATCTCTTGGTGAAGTAGTTTATACGACTAACAATAATATCTGATTCCCTGATAGGTTAAGAACAAACTGATACATATTTACCGTTTAATTTATTCCTATATGCGGAAAAGAACCTAGAAGACTTGGATTTCGCCAATGATGACTTGTGTCTGATATCGCACGAACGTGAAGATCTACAGGCGAAAACTAACAAGTTTTCAGAAGAGGCAGCGAAGACAGGACTTCAAGTGAATATACAGAAGACATAGGTGATGAAGATATCCAACCAACACCACCACGACCAACAACAAGCTCCAGTCACCATCAGTGGGAGAAACTGGAAGGAAGTAGTCTCTTTCGCCTATCTAGGCAGCAGTGTTTCAACTACAGGCGGTACAGAAGAGGATGTCAAAGCCAGCCAGGATAGGAAAAGCAAGACAAGCATTCATTAGCCTGAAACCAGTGTGTAGATCTTCTACACTCCACTCAGCATAAAGCGTGAACAACATCCAGATTTTCAACATCAACGTCAAATCAGTGCTCCTGTATGGTTCAAAGAGTTAGCGCGTTACGAAAGGCATTTCCAACAAACTACACACATTCATCAACAACTGCCACCTACGCTGGTTCGTTACTGAAGATCAGATGGCCAGAAAGAATAAGTAAGGAGGAACTCACTCTGGCAAGGAACCAACCAAGAACCTATCGCTCAACAAATATGCAAGGGAAGGAAGTGGAGATGGATTAGGCATACATTCAGAAGGCCAACTGGGGACATCATGCGCCAAACCGTCGAGTGGAACCCAGATGGGAAACCACGAGTTGGGCGTCTGAGGTGAGGGTGGCATGGATGAGATGGTGTGACGAAGAAATGATAGCTTGTGGGCAGTCGTGGAGCTAGGTTCAAAAGATTGCAGAGAATAGATTGGAATGGAGACGTTCTACTGAAGCGGTATGTTCCACTAGGAACCCAAGGAACAAATAATAATAATTATTATTATTCTTATATATTTTAGTAAATAAACTGTAGTATAGACATACTTTCTCAGTCAAATCGTAATCATAAACAGAACTATTCCACTGATACTATGCGTCTAGTATATGAATTCAAAACGATGAGATTCTTGTTCAAAGTGAACACTGGAAAGAAATGATTGTAAGATACTTTTGTATTGCAAAAAAATTTACCATTTTTACACTTAAACTGTTCCGATATCACTTGAAACTAACTTCTATGTAGGACAAGTGGTAACTGATCTTGGATAATGACTGGTTAGCAGTGGAATTAAGAACACATGTTTCACTTCACTTTTACAGCGGACTAGTCAGCTGGATATACCTTCCAAAGTGTATAACACAATCGTTTGATATTATAACTTGTCAATGTCTTACATTGATTAGTCGATCATAATTTCAGTGTAATATGAAGAGCAACTGTGACCTAACCCTCAAGGGGTCGAACCAGGAACCTTCAATATATACGTCATGGACAAATATTCATGGCATATATATATCGATGTATATAAATGCATAGATTGTATCGAAATACATCGAGAATCACTGAATATATACACCACACACACACACACACAGAGACGAGTTTGTGTGTGGTTTTCTTTAGATAAAAAAAAGAGCACACTTTACACACAAAGAGAGAAACAGAGAATACACTATAAAACTTACCAATAATAGTGACAGTAATAATAATAATAATAATGATTATGACAGTGAATTTCGGGATATGAAGGAAACTATATTCCCTCAAGTATCCGAGTCGACGCATAAAAACTCATCATCATAACAGGCAAGCCAAATTCATCAAACCCTTTAAAACATTTGACAATCATAACAGAACGGGAACAACACAAGAAAAAACAAAACAATAGTAGTATTAACAATGTGTATAATAGTCAGTTAGTTATGAAGACAAATCAGATTACATAATATGTACTCACACCACCAATTTTTGCTTCATAATACACTAATATAACTAGTCACTAGGACTCATACGAGAGAGAGAGAGGGGGGGGAAGATAAGAAAACAGAGAGAAAATGAAGTGAAAGTCAGTAGTTCAATCAACTAGACAGTAATGGATGAATAAAGACGTGTTCGGTTACATACATACAAACACACACACACACTCATACTTGTCTCCTTTGATGAATAACCACACTCAGAGTGCAGAATAAAACAATAATAACATACAGAACAAAGCTAAAATCCATGGAAGCACTTATTTCAATCTGTTTATATTGGTCACCTCTTCCATTGATCAAGAGGGGTGGGGGGCAGAGGAACGCAAGTGCACAATACAAGAAAATAAGCATAAGCTGAAATCCAAAAAATGAATAGAACTCGTGTACACTGAAGATATATAGAATATGATTGTACAGCGAAAATAAATAGAGACTGAAAAGGAATAGTTGAATGAATACCGCCTACCTAGAGTAAAACACACAAATACCTAATCATTTTAATTACATTCAAATAAGGCGTAAATTAGAAGCGGAATAGACGAAATATTATTTATGTAAACAATATTCAATGAAGAAGAGTATTATGATGCATCAGATTTGTTTTAATCGGTGTGTGTGCGTGTGTGTTTGTATGCGCGCGAGCGCGCGCGCGCCAAATTCAAAATCAATTAACAAAAGACGAACATTATATACAGTAGCTTAAATAAACAAATGAATGTACGAGGGAGAAGACAAAAAGAACAAACAATATCCCTTCAATATATCTTTGTTATCTTCATTTGTGTAGGTCTACACTCACACAGGATAGATAAGAGAGTGGTTCAACGCGTATCCATCTCGATGGTAAACAGGATGTTGTCTTAGACGACTGTTGATGATGATGACAAAGATGGTAGGAATGAACAATCCAGTAATGAATCAAAACAAGAAACACTACAGACTGACACAATGATGTCTTCAACAAAACATACATGATCAAAGAGAGACAACACATGATTGGAAGAGCAAGAGATAAAGACAGCGGCTATCTCATTTTTATTACTGAAAAGAAAAACCCGAATCACTTACATCTTCTCATCATGAAATCAAAGCAGAAATTAAGTAAATCAATTAAGCGTATGAGCATATTACAAAGAAAAGTGGAGTGGAGCACGGCTGATGAAGATACTTTAAAAACAAAAAATTCCTAAAAACACAAATGATATTTTTCCGTCAGGAGTAGATCACTGTCTTACAGTTGAACTGAAACAATCAACAATCAATTAGATTTAAGATCGAAGCAGAAAGTTGCCGGAGAACAACACGTTGAATAACTATGAAATAGGCTTCAACAGTGAGTATCCCATCATCGTCTCCTTAGTATTCGAAGAACTTTTACATAACACTTTGAAAGACACAACAATCTGAAGAAGCATAAGAGATAAAGGGGGTGGGGCGGGGGGCGGGCGGAAACCAGAACCGAACAACAACAAAAAACAGGCAGAAGACAAAAGGAACACCACAATAACTATACTTCATCTATACACCCAATGTTATCATCCATGATAAGCAATTTTTACGATAAAAGTCAAGTAATACATATGTATATTTATAGATATTAAAAGAATTTCTGAGCAGAAAGAAAAGGATAAAGGAGAAGAACATGATGAAAGAAAACAGAACCTGAGATTTTGTTTTAACATGTGTGTATTATTCATCATCGGCAGGAATAATTAGAAAATCGTTTACTTCGCAGTATCATTGAGTAAATGCTAAACATTGAAACACGTCACACACACACACATACACATACATACAGAGACAAATGTTCAATTCCACGAGATTTTATATTAAATAAACTGAGATCGAAGTCGACGAGACTTTGAACGACGTCCTAGACATCCACAACATCTGTTATAAAGTAGAAACATTGCAAAACAACACTATATAACCTTCCTTTATGAATACAAAAATATTGGAAAAAGTATAACAAGATGACCATAATGATTAAGATTCTATGACAGTTCACATTAGCCATGGTGCTCTACCCAATGATCAACAAAACCTCTACATAGATATAAAAGGCTTAATCACCTCCTAACAAATCAAGCCATTTACGACGATGTCGTCATATCGCTGTGTAACATGGTCATTCAACGAAAGCAGTATCACAAGCCTCATCAAACAATCTTAGCTGAAGTAATAGATTCACCCTATAAAAAACCACCTTTGAGCCACACCACGACCAGCACCACTCCATCAAATCCCATTCGAACTTGCCACCTCATGGTTTCCAGCCAAATGCTCTATCAACAAATCTATCTACGAAGTTCCACTACTCATCACATTTTCTACAATTTCACTTCAATCACCATTCCAGCTTTAACCAACGACTATCATGTGAATTCATCACCTATTACTACTCCACCTTCATCGTATTCACACACTCACTGCTGCATAGTCACCCACCATCTCTAATTCCAATCCAATGAGAATGAGAGACGGTGGGCACTATATTCATTATCATTTCACTATCTCAGATAGAAATTCTCGTTTACCAGACTACTATTCATATTCGGTAATCATCGAAGGTGAAATGAAAATCTAGTCACCTGACCTGGATTCAACGTAGACAACTCAATTCACATGGTTGTGAAGCTTAGTCGACACAGATGGTTGGGATCCGTGTTACATATGCATAATCACACATTCCCTCCTCACACAATGTTAGCCGAAGTAGTGGGTTCAGGCTAGAAAAGGGCTTTCAACCAGACCAAGACAGGCACCACTCCATGTCAGCTCTCGAACTGTCCATCTGAGCTGAGTAAGGAAGACGTAAACAATATTGTTAGGATCTTTGAAAAGAGGACTGTTGATGACATTACTGAAAAGTGGCCGCTGTCAGTGTCGGAGATCCATTGACTCGTCGACAACTTCTGTCGCTTCAATATTCACCCTAACCCTTCATCTTCAACCTCATTATTCTCTGTTCTTTGCATACCTCTGTGAAATGTGGCAAGTTAACTCGATCCACTTGTGTCCACGTATAGCGAGATGAGTTTATTGATTGAGAAATAACATGACTACTTATTCTTTGATTCTATGACAGACAGTTCAGATTAGCCATGGTGCTTCACTCAATGATCAACAAAACCTCTACATAGATATAAAAGGCTTAATCACCTCCTAACAAATGAAACCATTTACGGTGACGTCGTCATATCGCTATGTAACATAGTCATTCAAAGACAGTCGTATGAGAAGTCCTCCTAGTGTTTCCCTAACCTTTGTCACTGTATTACCATCTCACTAATGCAGAAGTCAACAGTGTTGAGGCTAGTGATGGCCAGATTTTAAAAAATGGCATCATTGTATGAAGTTGTTAACTGTTGGTTTGAGTCGTGTAGACACATGTAGAGTTGTAAGCGCTGACTGATTCCTAACGATGATTTCACAAGGTGGTACACTTTTGATGAAGACAATCATCAGGAGAAATCGTGTTTCTTAGCAAAAGTCACCAAGGCATATCTCCAACTGTAAGGGATGAGATATCCCCCTTCACAGTCAATCACGTGATCACTGAGTAATTGCGATTGTGACTGACTTCATATTCGATTGAATTAGACATGTTGAAGAGTGGTATAAAGGTGCAAAATTTGCGTGGAGTAACAAGCCTTCTTGCTGATTGACTGGATGGTGATGTTTTCAACATAAACTGTTTATGCCTCACCATTATATCTCATACTACTTTCCATAATCAGGTTTCATACATTTTTAAAGCCATCTCATATTCTGTGATATGGGTGTTGCGTCATTTCGATTCCACATTTGGTGGGTGGGTGTTGATTCGATGAACAGACATTCAGCAATCAATGCCCCATTCTCGTTCTCTCCACCTAGTTATATTTCACCTAACTATAGTCGTTTTATCCCATCCACCCCATGGTGTGTGACCATGTATCAATGCATGAATTGCAAAAGACGAGTGTTTTTCCTATTTTTTTTGGAGGTCGCCCTCTCGTCACCTGATTATTACACAGAAGTTGATCTAATAGCAGGAGAATTCTCCTTACACCTAGAATACCCAGATGACATAGTCCTGTCACGTGAAGACACCGACAAGATACAGGGCAGGGCCTTCTGAACACTTTGAGAATGTTTGGGATGCATTTCTCACCATCCAAATGCAAATTGTTGCTACACAACTGGTCTTCAACGGTGACCCACCACCGCTAACAATAGACAGTCAGTCAGTCAGTGTAGTGCTCGAGCGTGTCGACTACTTACTTCACTTACCTGAGAAGTAGGATCTTTGCACGAATACAAAAGGCTTGGTTGGCTTTTGCCAACTCACACCACCTGTAGCGCCGCCACCGTGATATCCGATTGTCTATTAAGGGTCGCGTGTGCCACACAACAGTTCACCCTGTTCTGATTTGACTGTGAAACATGGCCGTTGGAGGTGGAAGACATGAGAAAGGTGGCTTCAGGTGTTTCACCACCACCGCCGCCTTCGTAGTGTAAGCCGTATTCCGTGGTGTCACCACACCACACCACACCACACCATGTAAGGCAGTCAGTCAGTCGTAGTCTACCTCGTCACACAATGTTGGTCGAAGTAGATCCAGGCTGGAAAAAGGCTATTGGCTTGAGGCGGTCAGACTGAAACACGACATCAATGTATGAAGTGTTCGACTGTTTAATCAAGCCATGTACGGCGATGCACACTAGACGGTTGCGGTGGGCTGGACAAGGGAAACCAGTGGTTGGAGACTGTTGGCGATACACCTCAGAAGCGATGTCAGTGGCACAGTTGCATCCCCACAACACACATTAACCTCATCTTAACGTTCTTCATTTTTTATTACTCTCGTTTAGTACTTTATATTTGTTTTGACTGAATTTTTTAATCTTCATCTTTCACCTCACTACCTTTCTACTTGATGTAGTGATATGAGGTGTGGCAATTCGAACCATTACTCAGTATTGCCTAGTCTTGTTGTATTGATGAATGATGAGGATGATAGGGGAATTAAGTAAACCGGTTAAGATAAATGAAAAGTTGTGAATACATGTGCACCACTGATATCGATTCTGAGACGTGTCAAGGAGACCACAACAAGGGTAGTGTGTATCCCTCTACGCATATCATACAATGACCCAACGAGCTATCCTGGTAGCGCACTTGTTCCCTTGAGGTCCTACCATACAAGAAAGGTCTGTTGGATAGTGGTTAGATGAAAAGCAGTTACCGTTGTGCTATAAATTGCTACACTATGATAGGGGTCTGAAGGCGAGGTCGTACTGCTATTAGCTGGATGGGGTGTGACAGCAGTAAGGTGTTTCCCTTCGAATGGCCAGCAGTGCCATGCTGATGCTGCCTTCTCAGCGGAGGAGGGGGGAGGGGTTAGAAAAGGTCGGCCCCAAAAATAACACACTCCATCATGCCACACAGTCCGCCCGGCCAACGGTGTTGGTTCATTTGTTGTTTCCTTTCAACCATCCGGCCCTAAAATTGCAAAAGTTCAAAATAATCATACTCAAGCAGACATCCGATGGACTCTGAGGTCACACAAATCTCTTTCAGGTACCTTAGGAAGAAATGGTCTTCCACGGTGTGGGCAGCCGGCAAGTGTCAACCGCCCTCATAACTCGATCACCACTGAAGTTTCCTATGCAGCTCAGATCAACAATCAACGACTTCACTCCATGATGCCATGAACTATTGCAATTGCAGTGTATGCATTGATGTATAGTAACACACTATAGAGTGAATCGGATAAAGCGACTGTACTCAAGTCAAATATAACTAGATGAAGAGAACGAGAAGGGGCGTTGATTACTGAATGTTTCTTCACCGAATCAACACACACCCACCAAATGTGTAATCGAAATGATGCAACACCCACATCACAGAATATGAGATGGCTTTAAAGGTGTATGAAACCTGATTATGGAAAGTGGTGTAAGATATAATGGTGAAGCATAAACAGTTTATGCTGAAAACATCATCATCCAGTTAAAAAAAGTAAGACTGTATCACTACACTGTGTGGGATTCTTGGTTTTTAAACCTCTTTTAGATGCCTAGGCTACTGCATCAACGAAAAGGTCATTATCATTGGACTATAGGTGGTGATAGACAAGTGTGAAGAATCTGAAATCGAACAAAATGGATGGGATTAGGGAAAGCATTAACATATTGGATATGAACATGTCTAATGCAGAAATACTCAATTGAAGACTTCATCAATAAGTCGATTAAAAGCTAGTAGATATTATTTATAATATACATTTTTACAACAACAACTTACCCAGACTGACTTTGAACATCTTCTTGTTCAACACCAACTGTATTGTCACCTGCTCCTTCTGTGGTCATACCAACTCCTAGGCCTAAATTATCAATATCTCGACCTATACTTTCTTCTCCACCTCCACTGTATAATCCAGTTATATTTCGAACATGTGTACCCCCACCAACACCACCACCACCGACAGTATTTGTACCGGATACACCATAAGGTAATGCATTAGGATTAGTAGTGGATATTGTACCAACCGGTCCAATATCATCTATTACACCTTCATTAGGAGGAGAAGTATTTTTATTAGTGTTAAGGAGACCGGTATGCATAGCTGTATGATTTGTAGTTTGCTATAAAGAAAACAAAATTAATAATGTATAGTCAATAAGAGGAATTATTCAGTTAATGATAGACAGAATTAATGTGAAACCTCGTACACAAGTGCCTCAATTCAACTTGTCATATTGTAGTGGGCGTTGCTGATAAGAATGAATGTAAGTAGTATATGTTGAGGTGGCAGAAATCACAGGGAATTACCAGTTATTTACCTCTGGTGACTCCACTGCAGCTACTGACGTACCCATCAGCTGTCTGGTCACCTTTCAACAGCTCACTAATATCCATGGGTTAGGCCGTATTGACATTTAGGACACTTTCGGTGGACTATGCAGCCAGTAACTGCGCCTGCGACTCCTCATCCAACGTGGGAAGTGCTTGTCGAAGTAGTTTGGTCAACGTCACAGCTAACACCAGCGGGTCTTCGTCTATTCCAAGTTTCGTGCCCTGGGACTGCTGTATTACCAGCTCCCTGTCCGCTAGGCTGTCGAACTCCGTTTCCAGTCGTTCAACCATTCCCTGACAAGTCTCTTCCCCCTCTTCACGTTCCACGCCGTCATACGCTGCTTTCGCTCTACCCCACAGTAACGTGCCAAGTACCACCACCTTCGCTTCTGAATCCCAGACACCCATCAACTCCGCAACCGACTCGAAGTCCATGAAAAAGACCCAGATGTCTCCATCCCCGAACTCTGCAGGCCACGCAATCTTCGTCACGTCCAGAAGCAGCGACACCAATTGAAAGAAGCATAAAACAGGTATGCAGGAAGGAATGTTTATTGTCAACAAGTGGGACAGTAGTCGTTAAATGTGGTACACTTTGCATTAAAACCGTCATTTGCAAAATATGCTTCATTTCCTCTTCTGCTTCTTTCCTGCTATGCTCTTCATATGCACACATTGTCTCTTGGCGGAATCCCTACCCATTTCTGGTAACTCCCTATGATTTCTGCCACACTCTCAACATACACTACTTACATCCATTTTAATCAGCAACGCCCTCTACAATACTTCACAGTAGTATACAAAGAATAGGTGGATAGAAAAGGAGTTATATCAAAGTTGACAAAGATGTGACGGAATAAGCAACTTCAAGCATCAGAAAATGATGTCAAAAAGTGAATACATTTGTGCCACTGAAATAGATTTTCAACCATATCATTACCAGTCACTAACCACTGATTTCCTATCGTCTTAGGGACCCCCGGGGTTCAATATAACTCAGACTAACAGTTAGAAACTTTATAGACTAGTGATACGCCTTGGTCACCCCGCAACCTTCTCCCAACTTCCCTCAGAAAAGCACATCAAGCGTAGGCGGTGTCTTATCATGGTTAACTAATGTCGAAGTCAGCTGACACCATGAAGGTTCCTTAAGTCATCAATCGATCGGTTTGTCCATGTTGTCTAGTATACTTCATCTGAACTCAAAATTACTTCTACAATGATTTCAGTAAAACCCAGAAATGCTACGAAGAAGCTAACGATTAAAATCTTCAAACTACTTCATGTCTTATACTTTCAATGGTCATGCCTAGTAGCAGAATGCCTCGTCATACAATGTTGGCCGAAGTCGATATAGACTGGAAAAAGCCACGAAGCGGCCAGACTAACACGTGGCATCAATGTGTAAAGTCGCTGACTATTGATTTGTGCCATGTGGAGCGATGCAGACTAGGTAGTTGGGGTCCGCCGGACAAGAGAAACCAGTGGTGGTTGGAGACTGACTCTAGGTGATCACAAGGCTTAGAACCGATGTCAGTGGTGCGTAAGTATCCCCACGTGGTAGAGTGCTCTTAGTCAGGTTAACGGAAGTGTTAGCCAGTATATGGGAATCAAATACGATCCCCTCCGACTGGTCTAAGTCACTCATCATCCCAGTCTTCAAGAAAGGTGAGAAGTCCTCTTGTGATAACCACAGGGGAATCAGCCTGACGAACATAGTATCTAAGATCCTAAGTTCCATAATTCTCCGACGCCTGAGTGGAGCACGGGAACAGCAAGCCCGAGAAAACCAGGCAGGCTTTAGACCTGGCCGTGGATGTATCGAACAAATATTCACACTGCCCCAGGTCCTGGAACATAGGCATGCTTACAGACGCCCGACAATAGCTGTATTTCTCGACCTGAAGGCGGCATTTGACTCCGTTGATCGAGAAGTCTTATGGCAATGTCTGTCCCTGAAAGGCATGCCTAGTAAGTACATCACGTTATTGAAAGCTCTCCAGTCGAACACTTGTGGGTGTGTTAGAGCCTATGGCGAGTTGTCCAGGGAGCTATACTCATCAAGTGGTGTCCGTCAAGGATGCCCACTATCCCCATTCTTATTTAATTTTGTCATAGATATTCTTATGGAGGTTTCCCTCTTCTCACCTGATTACACAGACGTTGACCAAATCACAGGTGAATTTTCTTAAGATCTAGAATATGCAGATGACATAGTCCTGTTAGGTGAAGACGCTGACAAGATGCAGAGTCTTCTGAACACTTTGAGTGGGAATTTAAGAATGTTTGGGATGCGATTTTCACCACCCAAATGCAAATTTCTGCTCCAGGACTGGTCTTCAGCGGTGCCCCACCGCGGTTAACAATAGAGAGTGAGTGAAGTGGTTGAGTGTGTTGACCACTTCACTTACCTGGGAAGTAGGATCAACCCCGGTGGGGTAGTTGCCGATGAGATTTCGGCACGGATACAAAAGGCTCGATTGGCTTTTGTCAATTTGCGCCACCTATGGCGCCGCCGTGATATTCGTTTGTCTATTAAGGGTCGCGTGTACTGCACAGCAGTCCGCTCTCTTCTACTCTATGCCTGTGAAACATGGCCATTGAAAGTGGAGGATACAAAAAGGCTTCAGGTGTTTGACCACCGTTGCCTTCCTAGTAAGTATAGGACGTATTCCGTGGTGTCACCACATCAAGTGAGTAATGCAGAATCAAGGTGTAGAGTTGTAGGGAGAGAGAAGAGGTAAGTCAGTTGACGAGGTTGTGAACCTTCATCGACTGAGATGGTTGGCTGTGACACGTACTACGTATGTCTAGTCGTCACCGATTGCCTCGGTCACACAATGTTGGCCGAAGTAGGCGCAGCAGGCTGGAAAAAGGGTGGAGGTGGCCACACTAAAACATGGCACCAATGTATGAAGTCTCTGACAGTTGGTTTAAGCCATGTAGGACGATGTAGACTAGGTGGTTGGGGTAGGTGGGACAAGAGGAACCAGTGGTTGGAGACCCTAGGTGATATGGCTCAGAACCGAAGTCAGTGGTGCAGATGTATCCCCCACATACATTATCCTCATCTTAACAACGCTATACCGAATCTCACCATTTTGTCACTCCTCTTTCCTTTCTTCTCGTACTCTGTATTTCTTTTGACTGCATTCACTTATCTTCATCCTTCACCTCACTACCTTTTTACTTGATGTGCTGATATGAGGTGTGGCAACTCGGACCGTTACGCAGTAATGTCTGGTTCTATGTTGATATTGATGATGCCTCCCAGCCGCATAACAGAAGAAAGGATACACGTAATAAGTCTGAATATATAATAATAATGACACTAACCTGACCGAAATAGGTTGGCAAATACTCATCAACCTTGTAACGTAATTCATTTGGAGAGGCACCATTATCTTCGTTAATATAACCTGGGACAGTGTTTGGTTGTCCAGCAGTTGGCCAATGTGATGTGCCGGGACCCAATAATGGGGAACCAGTCAAACCCAAATTATTGTGATCATTATTTGTACTAGATGTTGGTTGATTACCATTAACTGGATGATGTGTAGGAGAAGTAAGACCTGAAGTGTTTTGGACTCCATTATTTAGACAAGTGGTATTTCCAGCAGGAATATTTGTCAGTGGTTGATTGGTTGCTTGACCACCAGATGTATGCGAGGATACTGAAGGCTAGGATATCAGGGGCAAAGGGAAAACGATAACACAAAAGTAAGGTATTCTAAATTGAGTATTCACTTTCATCATGATAAATACCTGACAATCATAATAATAATAATAATTATTATTATTATTATTATTATCATTATTATTATTATAACCATTCTGAGTATGTGAGATAGGCATAGTTTTCCAGACTAGTTATAATATTGGGTGATCACTGAAGGTGAGATGAAAATGTATACGGCTGCCCCAGATTCGAACTAGCGACCTCCGAGTTTTCGGCCAAATGCTCTGTCAACAAATCTATCTACGAAGTTCCACTACTCATCACATTTTCTACAATTTCACTTCAATCACTATTCCAGCTTTACCCAACGACTATCATGTGAATTCATCACCTATTACTACTCCGCCTTCATCGTATTCACACACTCACTGCTGCATAGTCACCCACCATCTCTAATTCCAATCCAATGACAATGAGAGACGGTGGGCACTATATTCATTATCATCATTTCACTATCTCAGATAGAAATTCTCGTTTACCAGACTACTATTCATATTCGGTAATCATCGAAGGTGAGATGAAAATCTAGTCACCTGACCTGGATTCAACGTAGACAACTCAATTCACATGGTTGTGAAGCTTAGTCGACACAGATGGTTGGGATCCGTGTTACATATGCCGAATCACACATTCCCTCCTCACACAATGTTAGCCGAAGTAGTAGGTTCAGGCTAGAAAAGGGCTTTCAACCAGAACAAGACCGACACCACTCCATGTCAGCTCTCCAACTGTCCATCTGAGCTCACTAAGGAAGATGTAAACAATATGGTTAGGATCTTTGAAAAGAGGACTGTTGATGACATTACTGTAAAGCGGCAGATCTATTGACTCGTCGACAACTTCTGTCGCTTCAATATTCACCCTAACCTTCATCTTTAACCTCATTATTCTCTGTTCTTTGTATACCTCTGTGAAGTGTGGCAAGTTAACTCGATCCACTTGTGTCCAAGTATAGCGAGATGAGTTTATTGATTGAGAAATAACATGACTACTTATTCTTTGATTCTATGACAGACAGTTCACATTAGCCATGGTGCTTCACTCAATGATCAACAAAACCTCTACATAGATATAAAAGGCTTAATCACCTCCTACCAAATGAAACCGTTTACGGTGACGTCGTCACGTCGCCGTGTAACATGGTCATTCAACGAAAGCAGTATCACAAGCCTCATCAAACAATCTTAGCTGAAGTAATAGATTCACCCTATAAAAAAACCACCTTTGAGCCACACCACGACCAGCACCACTCCATCAAATCCCATTCGAACTAGCGACCTCATGGTTTCCAGCCAAATGCTCTATCAACAAATCTATCTACGAAGTTCCACTACTCATCACATTTTCTACAATTTCACTTCAATCACCATTCCAGCTTTAACCAACGACTATCATGTGAATTCATCACCTATTACTACTCCACCTTGATCGTATTCACACACTCACTGCTGCATAGTCACCCACCATCTCTAATTCCAATCCAATGAGAATGAGAGAAGGTGGGCACTATATTCATTATCATCATTTCACTATCTCATATAGAAATTCTCGTTTACCAGACTACTATTCATATTGGGTAGTGATTGAAGGTGAGATGAAAAAACTTGGAACTTAGCGGGATTTGAAGCAGCGACAACTGCGTTTCCACCTCAGTGCAAATATACTTCAGTACATCAATTTACGGGAGAAGAGAAAAAAACAATTTAGGAAGTGTTTTTTAAACTGATTGGCTGCTGACGAAGTTTCATCGAAAGATATTCACATAATCCATCATCAACCAAGAAAAGTAAACAAAACGGAATGTTCTATCTTAACATGAAGAACGTCTTGAAGATGACAACCAGATTATTAAAGCCTTTTGGAATCTCTGTAGTTCACAAGCACACAAAATTTCTTGACTTCCTGTTATGCAGACATCATCTTACATTTGGCAGATGCTCATGAAATAGATGCCAAATATTTTGAAATCTCCGCTCAACACATTCATAAGACCTTATGTGTAAGTAGTGAACCTATTTGAATGAAACCAGTCAGTCTACACACGAGTACACGACTCACGCCAACAGTCAGGAACTTTGTGCGCTAGTGCATAGTCGGATCACCGTCAACCCTCGTCAAACCAAATCCAACTTCACTTACCTTCGCACGTGTCGACGTAGACGGTGGATCACTAAACATATACAGTACATGTTCATGCCATCACATTCACTGAAGGTATACACAACCTCATCATCTCCTACAGTATTCTTAGTCTAACCACAACATTCACCACGTACTGATTCCACAATACACCAGTAATGCTACCAACACAATAATCTTCAAAACTCTACAATCACTCAATGTCCTCTACTTTTAACAACCATGTCTTATGATCGTATAATAAGATAGAATGGATGGCAGCGTAGTGTATGTACACGGAGACAAAGGTTACGCCGGTTGGCCTTCTTTATCCGAGCTCAAACTGTGTCATCAACAAGCCCCTTGTTCACTGGGTTGATGCAACTCATCTATGTAAGTGAAATAGTCGACATATTCAACCACTTCACTCTGTATCATTAGACCCCAAGTCCTGGATCATCGTCTTACATTTCACAAGTGCCCATGACAGTAGGTGCTACTTTAGCCCGTCGTTCTACTAATTTACACTTCTCTACTTACTTTTTTTCCATCTCAACAGTAAAACTTTAGTGAAATTTGATGTAACGGACTTTTTGGAAATGGGTGAAAAATTGGGTCATTCATTGTATACATTCCATGAGACAATATCAAATCCAGGGTAAGTCAATTTCGCTTGATCAATATGGTGTAAATCTTATCAAGTTATTATTCATCATAGACTGACTGACATCAGTTGGAGGAATAATGGAAACCTGGGAGCACTCAACAGCTGTTTCCTCCTAGTATGCAACTCCTCAGCAGTGTGCACCCACAACCCAACCCTCCCCGGATCGAACCCGCGACATTCAGCTTCCGTGGCTAGCACGTTACCATTGAGCTAGCCACTGGGTCAGTGGAATCCAACCGTCCATATTTCCAACTTCTCTTACCTCACGATATAGCGCAACCACCACCCAATATCATCGTTTAGTAACTGTCCTCACAACCATCAGGCTTTGCCCCCACCGGCCACAACTTCTTATTGGAACTTCAGGAATCACCTCTCAAAGTTAATCACTAATGAGCACCAGTTCAGTTGAAATTTGGAGCTAACGGAAGTTGGAAATATGGAACATTGGATTCTGACCCAGTGGCTGAATGACAACGTGCTGGACACGGAACTTGAAGGTCGCGGGTTCGATCCCTGGCGGGGTCTTATCAGTTAGATATTCTCTATCACAGTAACTATTGATTAGTCTTATTCTGAAAAATTAGGTGAAAAAAATTTTGAGGCAAAGCAGACAATGACCATTGTGCATCGTAATAATCACAGAAACCGTGGTAAGGTTGCCTGTGCGCACAGTTGAAGAGACCCATACTAGGACGAAACAGCGGTCCAGTCCCTCAAGCTTTTCATTGGTTCTTCAAGTGATCTCATTCTATGATGAATACTACTATCATCAGTGTAAACTTCACAAAGATACAACAAGAAAGGAAGACAAGACAAATGTTATCCGTAGGATAAACTGTGGAAACCGTGGAAAACATTATATCAGGCAGATTGGTCGCCCGCTTCGTATCCATCTACATGAAAATCGACTAGCAGTGAAGTGTCATGATATATCTTCACTCATATCAATAGATACATGAATTCGATCGGGAGAATATGGGAATCCTGTTTGGATGGAGGAAATACAAAGAATACCAGAGAACTCTTAGAAACTTGGCATTGAGATCAATCAGCCATCAACGAACACATAGTGACACTGATCCAACCAATAAGGAGGAAGAAATCTCAAGGTTCACATCGACAGGACAACCAATGTGATGACAATCGCAAGATGTTACCAGAAACAACCAATCAGGTACAAGGTCATCATGACCAACTCTAATGGGTCACATTTTTGTGAAGTTTGCACTGATGATGACATTTCCTAGTGTCTCATTCACATTTTGAACATATGACCTGTACAAGCTAATTCCTGGCGGAGAATAAAGTGGAGAAAGATATTCTCTGATTATTTATCATGTTGTAATTTTTTCGATGGCAGAGCATTTCGTTCTATTTAGATCTCATCAGTCAGATGTACCTTCACCGCAGTGAAGACTTGAAGCCAGTACTGATCACTTCAAAACCCAGAGTGCTAGGGTGGTAGTAAATCCAGTTAACGAGTACTAGAAACAAGAGAAAAGATGTATCGTAGATTCTATCGCTCAGGAAATGATAACACCAATCAAGGTGTATAGAAAATAGAGGAAATCATGAATAATGACATATATATATATGCAAATAGAAAGCGTAGTGTTTCATGAACTTTAAGGTTTAGAGGCCACTCTAGAAACTGATAAGATAGGCAATTGCTTTCCGAAACCTGATTGGTCATTTCACCAGTTGCTAAGGTGGCCTTTAGAGACAGTTTTCTACCGCTGATGATAAGGATCTTTGTCCATTACAACACCCTTTTCATATTCAATGGTCAACTATATGAACAGACTACTGAAAAGACCAGCTAGCCCTTGTTTCCCTCACCTTCCCACCCTCCCTCCTTCTCATATTGGGAAAAAAAGTGTGTTTACCTTAGATCCAGGTAACGGTCGACTGCACCAATCGAATTCCCAATCACACTCCCAACCTTTTCTCTGCATTAGATCAGTAAAACCCCAACGAAGATATTCATAATTCGGTTCTTCAAAAAAATCTAAACTACGAACATATCGTAGATAGGTAGCCATTTCTAAAAGGGATAAAATATAAACGAAAATAAAAACAGATAGGTGACATAGTATCAGATGAATAATATACTAGGGTAAAGAAGAGGCAATTCAGTCGATAACATTATGTGGACCTTCTACTGACTGTGATGGCTTGGACATGAAGTTAGTATACCGAACCAATAACCTTCTACTTCGATATGAATTGCCAGTAGATGAATTACGTCAAAAGCGAGTTCACTATGAATGAACAGACTAACAAGTGGAACCAGATTTATGAAGTGCCTAACTGTTCCCGTTTAAGTCATATGGAGAAGTGTAGACAATATATGATGTATTGCAGGATAGAGAATTTAAAATTGAAGGTTAGTTAAGAACATTCAAGCCTGTCAGCCATGTTATCAAGAGTCGTTATCGTCTACGAGACTACAACCTCCCATCCACCCTGGCTCAAATCAACCGATACCTCCATTTTGGTTTAGTCACCCTGAACTCTTCTTCAACGTAATCCAATTTCCTACAAAATTCTCATTGTACATGAAGATAGGTGGTGGGTCACTCGATATATACAACACATATTCAGACTAATTCAATTGATGAAGGTAAAAACAACCTCATCAAATGACTTTCTTTCCTTGTCTACTATCCTTCGTTTGACTTTCACTCGATTCCGTACATACGTTTATGCATTAGACGGTGAAGAGATATACCGCTTTTTTTACTGTAATAGAGAATAAAAAATACAGACTTGCATTTAAACTCGGATTCAACACTGGAAGGGAGGGGGAGATTCAAAAACTTCATGAAAAGACCGAAATTACCTGAGAAGTGTAGCGTATTCGCATAGAGCAATCACATTTAAAAAATCCACCTGTTCGATGGCATTTCATATGAAAGGGGGGAAATAAAGTAAGCTAAGGTGGTAAATATACTTTGACATCATACATTTCTACACCACCCTTGGTTGCCAAGGAAGGTTTCAGGGGACGACAAACTGAACAAACAGGTGCAAGATTGAGCTATTCGGCCTTGTATAGCAACGGGGAAAATACAAATATCATTACAACAACTGATACCCGTTGCACAGAGGATAACCCCTTGGCGTTTGAAGCGAAGGGTAGTGGACAACAACACTCAGCACTGAGATGTTGGTACATCCAGCTGACGAGTCTCAAACAGGACGAAACACATGTCTTGGATTCCCTTGCTGTTATGATGCCCCAGTTTTCTATAAGATATTGTTATCGATCCAAACATTTTTAACGTATCATTCCCACACCATTTTTACGGTATGACTAGTAGTCTACTTTCAGCAAATCGCTAATTGGTTAACCTTTACTCTTACTACTATGCAAATGCTTCAAATTGAGGACAAGGTTATTCTTCATGTGTATACTTATTCACGTGTTTTGGGATTGATTATATCATTATATTCTCGGAGTATTACACTCACTCATCTGCCAGCTTCGGTCTTCTCTCTATTCGTCCCGGGGTTTCAGTCAGTGGCTCTTGCGTACCAAGTTAGCTGTCAGCTAGGCGTGTGTATTATATTCGTTCCGGAATGAATATGTATATATAGCTATTAGCGCTTCGAAAGCATAACACCTGCTAGTCACCAAGAATAATACACAAGAAGAGGCGTTTAAGTTCCGTGTGACTGAGGCTTCAGTGAACCCAATCTATGATGTGTTCACCTATCGAGGATGACGTCTGTTTTCCCTACTGTATTTATCGGATAACTTGAATGTAATTGTTTTCAAGCCATTTTAGGGGGGTGGGGTGTTCCACCACGCTCGACTACACAAATCGATTGCTTCTCTCGATGTATATGTCACCACATACATACACCCAACCCTCGCTCGCCTCTTATAAGGTAGTAAGATGTAAACATACTTCTTTGGGATAGAATACTGATTAGTTCGCACCATAGAGAAATTATCATACCGACTGATGAACACTTGAGTGAATATACAATTCTCGTGAGTGTCTCTATTAACAATTCGAATGGCTTTCCTGATGCATCTATTATGCAGACACATCGGGTACTTTTGGATAAGCATTTTACTAAACCCTCACATTTGTGCTGTATTGGATAGATCATCATCATTATCAACATAGGACCAGGCATTACTGCGTAACCCTCGCCGACTTGCCACACCTCATATCAGCACATCAAGTAGAAAGGTAGTGAGGTGAAGGATGAAGATAAGTGAATGCAGTCAAAAGAAATACAGAGTACGAGAAGAAAGGAAAGAGGAGTGACAAAATGGTGAGATTCGGTATAGCGTTGTTAACATGAGGATAATGTGTGTGGGGGATACATCTGCACCACTGACTTCGGTTCTGAGCCATATCACCTAGGGTCTCCAATCACTGGTTCCTCTTGTCCCACCTACCCCAACCACCTAGTCTACATCGTCCTACATGGCTTAAACCAACTGTCAGAGACTTCATACATTGGTGCCATGTTTCAGTCTGGCCACTTCGGGCTTTTTTCCAGCCTGGACCCACCTCAGCCAACATTGTGTGACGAGGCAATCGGTGACGACTAGACATACGTAGTACGTGTCACAGCCAACCATCTCAGTCGATGAAGGTTCACAACCTCGTCAACTGACTTACCTCTTCTCTCTCCCTACAACTCTACACCTGACTTCTGCATTACTCACTTGATGTGGTGACACCACGGAATACGTCCTATACTTACTAGGAAGGCAATGGTGGTCAAACACCTGAAGCCAGCTTTCTCATGTCTTCCACCTTCAATGGCCATGTTTCACAGCCATACAGTAGACAGAAATTATGAAAGTTTATGTACTATCCGATTAACATAAGACCAGGCATTACTGAGTGATGGTCCCAGTTGCCACAGCTCATGTCACTACATCAAGTAGAAAGGTAGTGGGGTGAAAGATGAAGATAAGAAAATTTAGTCACAAGAAATATAAAGTACGAGAGGAAAGAATGGAGGAATGACAAAACGGTAACATTCGGTATAGCATCGTTAAGATGAGAATAATGTGCGTACACATCTGTACCACTGACATCGGTTTTGAGCCATATCCCCATAAAGTCTCTAAACCACTGGTTCTTCTTATCCCACGGACTTCAACCACGTAGTCTGCATCGCCCCCCACATGGCTAAAACCCACAGTCAGAGACTTCATACATTGGTGCCATGTTTTAGTCTGGCCACCTCGGCGGGCCTTTTTCCAGCCTGCTGCGCCTACTTCGGCCAACATTGTGTGACGTGGCAATCGGTGACGACTAGGCATACGTAGTACGTGTCACAGCCAACCATCTCAGTCGATGAAGGTTCATAACCTCATCAACCGACTTACCTCTTCTCCCTAAAACTCTACTCCTGGCTTCTGCGTTACTCACGTGGTGTCGTGTCGACCTATATACTACGAAGGCAACGGTGGTCAAACACATTCGAAGCTTCAAGTCCTCTTCTCTTCTAGCTAATAATACATTAAGAAAAGGAAGTTGGTTATTATTTTCTCCTTCACAGGATAAATTAATAACAATCCTGTGTATCTACAAGTCTGAAGACGAGAGTTTCACTTCTATACTATAATGGAGACAATAAACACTTATTCAAAGTTGTAATAGTCTATGTTGTTGATACAGATAGTAGGTTGAACATGGCTGGTATCCAGTGGAATAGCATTTCCTATGAGTATAATAGTAGTTTACCAGCCTCATAAGAGAGAGAGAGAGATACCCTAGTATTTGAGGTAAAAGGTATTCGATACGATTTACGCAGAGAATAGCGATTGTAGCTGCCCAATGAAATGAATTTAAATCGATTTGTTATAATCTACAATTGTCCGTCAGAGGAGACTAAAAGATGCTCTGCATTCAGAATTATGACCAGAACAGGCTGGCTGATCAAATCCCAACGCTATGCTACGCATCATCATAGAACAGAGTATAGAATAGCGCAGTCAACTCTCTACCTCATATTTATCGACTTGGAAAAAGCCTTTCAACGGCATCAACCGTCAAGTCATTTGGCAGTTGCATCAACACTATAGAGTGCCAACCTCATTCGACAGTTGTATGAAGACGCCACATACCAAATAATCCATAATGGAAAGGTCAGTGACGTCTTTGAAGTGAAGACAGGTTGATAGGTAAAACAAGACTGCCTACTATCACCTATGATAATCTTCCTGATTGTGGTCGACTGGATTACACAACAAACCGTGGCTGGACCGATGAAAAGACACTAGAAGATTTGGATTTCACCAGTGACGATTTATGTTTAGTGTCGCACAAACTTGAAGATCTACAGGCGAAAACTAACAAGTTGATAGAAGAGGCAAGGCAAAGAAAACAGGACTTCAAGTGGATGTAGAGAAGACACATGTGATGCAGATATCCCAGGAACAACAGAATCAACGACAAGCACTAATAACCATGAACAGCAGAAACCTAAACGAAGTGGTCTCTTTCATTTACCTACCTAGGCAGCATCGTTTCAACTACAGGCAGCGGCATAGGCATACATGAGGATGTCAAAACCAGGATCGGAAATACAGCAAGACTAAACCTTCCTGCATTAATCTAAAATCAGTGTGGAGATCTACTCCACTCAGCACAAAGCCTGAACAACATCCAGATTTTCAACACCAATTCAGTCAAGTCCGTCAGTGCTTCTATGTAGATGGTTCAGCAAACTTGGCGTATCACGAAAATCACTTCCAACAAACTACAGATATTCATCAACAGCTGCCACCAACGCTGGCTTAATATTGAAGATCAGATGGCCAGAAGGAATAAGCAAGGAGGAACTCACTCTGGGAACGAACCAACGAAGCAAGAACCTATCACTCAACAAATATGCAGGGGAAGGGAATGGAGATGGATTAGGCATACATTTAGAAGGCTAACTGGGGACATCACACGTCAGGCTAGTTGCTCAAGTGGAACCTAGATGGGAAACGACGAGTTGAGCGTCCGAGGCGAGTGTGACATGGATGAGATGGTGTGAGGAAGAAATGTAGAGCTTGTGGGCAGTCGTAAAGCCAGATTGAAAAGATTGCAGAGAACAGATTGGAATGGAGACGTTCTACTGAAGCAGTATGTTCCACTAGGAACCCAAAGGACAAATAATAATAACATCAGTTGGAGAACCGTACTGGATAGCTGTTTCATTATAGTATACGATCCGACACCAGTATATACACGTAATTCTCTGTCAGAGATTGAACCAGACACCTATAAGTTGTGAATTGTTGGATCACTGACAGGATCATGGGTGCATTATATACCGCTATAGAGTCTTCGTGTGTCAGATGATCGCTACTAGATATGTCTCAACTTGAATATATATATATATTTAATTTTTACTAAAAAGTATCTTTTATCTCTCTTACCAGGATAACCATGACATAGGACATCAATAGGTGTTGCTCTTTTCGTATCACCAATCTTTTGATAACGTTCACGTAAATTTTCAGCTTTTAAACCTTGCCATGGTAAACTACCACGTAGGAAATATAGAAACATATGACCTAAAGCTTCTAAATCATCACGTCGTGATTGTTCTAAAATATTTAAAATGAAAATAAACAACAATAAAAAATATAAATTTATAAAACAAACATGTTTATACACTTGATAAGAAGACTGAATAATAATTTGATTGAATTTCAATGGAATAATGAATAACAAGTCACAGATATACATATGAATCTGATGACTATCCACTAGTTCACCATCACGAGCCAGCCACCTTCAGATTCTATGGCAAGTACCTTACCACTGAGTCACTGGGTCAGAATCTAATGGTCCACTGCTGAGGAGTTCTATACTAGTCGGACGAAATAGCAGCTGTCCAATGAGTGCTCCAAGGTTCCTTTTCTTCTTCTCCAACTGATATCAGTCAGTCTACAATGAATAACAACTTGAAATATTTTCAAATCCCCACAACTACCTCAAAATTCAATTGAACTGGTGCTCATTTGTCACTAACTTCGAGAGATGATTCTCGAAGTTCCAATGAGAAGTCGTGGCCGGTGGGAGCAAAGCCTGATGGTTGTGAGGACAGTTACTAAACGATGATATTGGGTGGTGGTTGCGCTATATCGTGAGGTAAGAGAAGTTGGAAATATGGACGGTTGGATTCCACTGACCCAGTGGCTAGCTCAGTGGTAACGTGCTAGCCACGGAACCTGAACGTCGTGGGTTCGATCCGGGGAGGGTTGGGTCGTTGGTGCACACTGCTGAGGAGTTGCATACTAGGAGGAAACAGCTGTCGAGTGCTCCCAGGTTTCCCTTGTTCCTCCAACTGATGTCAGTCAGCCTACGATGAATAACAACTTGAACTATTTCAAAACGTCCGACTATAAACTTTAGTTTTACACCTAGTTCTCATGATTCCTGTTTGATTGATAGTTTTGGATTAGAGAATGTTATAAGTGTGATTTACCTCGGTGTGGTGTTTTTCTTTAAAACCTTTCCTGGTCCTCCTATATCTTAATGACTTTTTCAGGAATCTTCCGCTTAAGTTTCTATATTAGGAAGCTGGTAAAACTCAGCCTATCATCTTGTGTTTTAAGAACTCCTGCATCTTGCCCGTTCTCCCCGTTGATTCTTTCTTGAGTTGCTGAAAATGGACTATGTTGTATTGCGTACAGATTTGAAGTTTGTCAGTAGAACTAGTGGTGTACCTTCCTGAACCTTTTAACTCATACTGCTATGGACAAATACCTTATCTAGATTTTAAAATAGGCTTATCATTTTTCAAACCATACCCATCGGCTACATTGCTACTAATTTATATGAGACAGTATCATTTCAATGATATTCAGGAGATTTCCCTTCGTTAACCCCTTAAAGGCCTTCAGAACTTTCCAAGACAATTCCACATATTATCAAAATCCTTTTCATGCACCCCGGTCATCCGGTCAAACAAGTCCTCTAGTGGACAATAGCTTGTTGTAAGAGGCGGCGGGTGAACCATTCCAGAGAGAGGCATAAATGACTTCCAAACGTCTGCGATTATTGTGTTATTCAGCACCAAGTAATTTCGTAAAATATCCGTTCTTCGTATTTCAGTTGTATAAAATAAGGATCGGTCGTTTTACAAGACATATATTGAGTAAGCGGTGACTTATCCGCTCTTGTTTACGTCATCTACATAGGTTATATCAACTTTCCTAACAAGATGGTCATCTATTTCAAGTACATTACCTAATTCACCTCATTTAACATCCAACCTGCAATATAATCTTCGACATAATTCACCAACTATATGCGGTGACAACAACACGGTAAATGGACGTAGTAAATGGTCCTCAGTTAACCATCTCCAAGCCGATTGGCTGTCTTCAAGGTACCCCATGACTAAAGTTTATACGAACCAACGAACTGATTGAAGACTACACAGCTTGGTGCTACTCAACTATTACGCATGGAACTGATAATGTGACTGTCCACCCGAGTTGACATCTTCAAGCAACTTGTTCGAAGAGTTCCATATGACATCGTGAAAGTTCTATACACTGTTCCTGAAATATTTTACAGAATGTAACCACCATTATTATTACCACATACATTTGAGTCTTTGAGTTAGTTCATCCTCTCGAAATCACCAGAGTTTGTCACCTATGTTGACCTACTGCGGCGTTATTTGTGTATCAAAGTGTAGGCTGATATGCGTGTGGTGGGGAGAGTTTACTCAATAATAAATTCCATAACTCGATTTCCCACCTTCCTTTCAAATCATCATTCCAACTGACACATTCTGCATAAGACAAGTCACTGGTTCGAACCCGACTGCCATCCAAATTTTCATTTCACTTTCAATCATCATCGAATAACAATACTAGTCTGTTGAAAATATATCTGCTATCTCGCAATCCCCTTTTCCTTCTTTCATTCTAAACTATCTTTTTACATTAGAGGTTAGTGTAGTGTTGCAGGGGATAAGTGAACAGAGAGTTGAGATGATCAGTTAGCAATATCCTTTAAACTGAATGTGTTCAACTGTATCCATCTACTTGTAAAACCTGAGATTTCTCAATCGACTACTGCTGATTGATACCTTTTGTTTTAGTCATTCATGATATTCACTCATATTGTCTGACTAAGTGAATTCACTGATAATCAAGTGAGTAACAAAGGCGATTACTATGGTCTATCTTATCATCAACCATTGTGTTATGGAAAGAAAATTGTACCAATCTATTGAATATGATGATGGTTTGGTTTAAGATGAAGGTGAATGATAGTTGAGCTGATACTTCGAACTCCTCTCTCTATGTGTGTGTATGTGAAGAAGAAGAGGAAGAGGACGAAACTTGAGAAGTAATTCATATCACAAAGTATTCGGATGTGTAGTTGAAAATTGAATCAACAGTTGAAATTCACTAATCAGCAAGTTTGTATACATTTGGTGAAGTAATGAGGAATGAACAGCTATGCCTATTGTGTGTTTGTGTCTGTGTGTGTGTGTGTGTGTTTATGTGGGGACTAAGGATACTATCACTCTACCTGACTGATGTTCGAACCGTCGGTAGGCGAAGTGGGATACGAAGCGATGGTGTTGTTTTTCTAAATTGAATTATCAACTGATTATCTCGATGTTGTATTCATTCGAATCTGCTTATTGTATAATAAGTTGAGTGTGACGACCACTTCACTTCACTTAGCTGAGAAGTTGGATCAACCTTGGTGATGGTCGACGAAGTCTCTGTAAGGAGGATGGAAAAGACTCACTCTATTGTCCGGCGTGATATTCGATTGTCGATTAAGGGTTGAGAGTTTACTTGGCTGTAGTTCACTCTATTCTACTTTATACAAGTTGATTCTCGCCTATATTAACCACAATCTCTAATCACTGACCAATCGAACTACCTATCATGAACTTACGATACTGGTCTACTCTAACAGGTAAGTGACTGACTTATGCCTACTCCACGCTCTGATACACACACACACATACCTGATAACTCATCTGTAACACTGGAGTGAGAAAAGTAGTCGAACAATAGTCTGTCCATATAACAGAAATCACGGACACGCATAGAAGAAGAAGGAGGAAAATGCACGAAAAATGACCCACCTTTGCCTAAATGTGTATTAATACTCATATAGCGTGCAGTACCAGTAAGACTTTTATGTTCACGATATGGAATGTGTTTTTGAGTATCTGGATCAATATACTCCTTAGCTAAACCAAAATCAATAATATATATAGTACGATGTCGATTATAATATTGACGTCCAATAAGAAAATTCTCCGGTTTTACATCACGATAAATTAAATGCTTTGAATGTACATATTCAATACGTCGAAGCTAAAAAGGAGATGAAGATAAAATGAAGGCCAATAGTCAAAAACAAAGGAACAAAAACATGACATATTTAAACATACACTATATTATAATTGTCTCTTATATCATACTGTCATTGATTGATTGGACTGAGTTGATCGGTGTCTATTGGCATATGAGATCCTATGCGAATGCCCGGATATTACCTGTGTAGTTCTAGTTTTAGTGAAGATGGATAGTGACTGGCAGTGGAATCCAGCTTGGTGTGCATTTCGTCCTATTTGGGACTCCTTGGTCAGCTGGATGTACCTGCCTCCCAGTGCCGAGTGATGTTGTTCCCATTGGGATTCGGAATCGGGAGTGATTGCTTCAAACGCCAGAGTGTCATCCACTACACCACCCAGCCACGATAGCCACTTATTGTACGACTGGTACACTTTTAGTGTGATTGCTTGTATTACACTGTCGTTGATTAAACTCAACTGATTGGTCTCTATTGGCATATGGGATCCTGTGCAGACGCCTCGATATTACCTGTGCTCTTATGATAGTAATGATGGGGAGTAGTGGGTAGCAGAGGAATCCAGATGCACATTTCGTCCTATTTGGGACTCCTTGGTCAGCTGGATGTACCTGCTTCCCAGTGCATAGTGATGTTATTCCCATTGGGATTAGGACCGGGAGCGATCGTGGTGGGAACAACATCACTCGGCACTGGGAGGCAGGTACATCTAGCTGGCCAGTGAGTCCCAAATAGGACGAAATGCACACCAAGCTGGATTCCACTGCCAGTCACTATCCATCATTATTATCATATAATATACATGTATAGATGGTAGACAAAAGGTTTTATATATACACAAAAACAAAACACTTGTGAATCTATGACAAGTTTTGTATAAGAATCTACACAGAATAGTATTACTTTATTCGAATTAACTAGACGATAGATGTTTCAATTCCATCCGACATATATACATGTAAACTAGACAAACAAAATCAATGGAGAACTACTGATCTCCTTTTGTATCGAGAAGCGTGTAACTAGGCGAACGTCTACATATCCCAATACATGGATGTCAGACAACTGGAAACCTAAGTGTACAGGAAGCCAACATACACTGACCAAATTCTCAACTATGGTAGGAACAACCCAACACAGAGCAGAAACCTTATCAGAAGATGCCTATCCCGTGGATCACCAACTACAAAGTGATCGACAGAGATCGATAAACGCACCATCCTACCATCCATATAGGAAAATGTGGGAAATCAAGACAAGATTACTGAAACCACTTAGTGGGATTGGTGTAGTGCCTCATAAACCAACAAATCCCCTCCAAACACTATTATGAAGACCAAAGAAGACAAACCGAATATCATTTAGAAAATCATATGGAATAACTGTAGTCACCACTACACTATACAAAGTGGTCGCCCCATCTTCGCCTTCGTCTACATGAACACCAATTAGCTATTAAACGTCAGGACATTCCATCGGTCATTGTTCAATGCACGTGGATTACAACTATGGACATAAAATCAATTTTGACAATGTGAAGATGTTGGGTGGAGTGAGGAAACACAAAGAGTATCATCAAAGAATTCCTAGAAGCTTGGCATTCAAGTCAGTCAGTCACCAAACAATAGATGTATACATGTGGACTGAATGTATTAACCAATGAGAAAAATGACAAACGACAGAATGGTGAGAGGTGAAGGAGAGGAACAACCAACAGAGAAATTTATACAGTCACTCAATGACACAAAAACCAAAGGAAATAACTAATCAGAAACCAGTTAGTCAGGGCAAACTACTAAATCACTCACGGAGAGATATTGAAGTTAGTGCTGATGATGTCGTCTAGGAAGAAAGGCGATGGAAGCTCGACGACTAAAGAACCCACTTCAGAGAACACAATATAACCAAGACAGCTTAAGCCAACAGTCAGGGATTTCGTCGACTGCTGCCGCATCTCGGTCTGGCCAGCATGAACCAACTTCCACTAGCATGGCACTTCAAGGTAGGCGGTAACTTGGCCTGTACAGTACATATTCAAGCCACCTAGGTCGAATAACATTCACAACGTCGTTAATCCACTTCCCTCTGTTTTGTCTGGTACAATTCTCGAGACCTCAATATTGCTCACATGATGATCCTACCAATCACAAGGAATGCTACCTCTGATCAAAACGTGGTAATCAATCTCTTCATGTATTCCTATTTTTAATAGCCATATCATACAACCGTTTAACAGGACAGAACGGATTGCAAAGCAGTATACTCATCCTTTGATAGACAATAAGATATGTCGCCGACTGGCGTATCCGACCCATTCAAACTGATGCAACTCTTCAAATAGAGCTAGAAAAAATCATATCATTTCGTCATGTAGTCATCAAGCTACAAGGTTCATCATCACAATGCACTTTCATGGATGTTAGTTGGCTGAGAGATAATCATCGGCAGTGGGACCTCCCCACCTCCACTCACTAGTTGGCATTCAACAGCAAGTCCAATTATCTCCAACCACCTCAATTGCCTTCACAACCAATTAACATACATATATACTGGCCATTAGCAGAATTATAGTTTATAGAGCATAATCTTTCTTGTCTGTACTATGCCAAGTTTTCGGTATAATGAACAAAAGAAAATGACAGACTATTATAGACATTGATAGTATATTGCTTGTAAGAGAGAAAGAGAGTAATACATACACATAATCTTTCCGCTGTCATGACACACACACACACACATAAAACCCATTTGTGAATTATCCTGCATACATAATACACAATACCAATGGACAGATAGATAGATAGATAGATATGCATAGAGTAAAGTTATATTTGACCTCAACCACTAAGTCTGTTAGGATTCATCTATTTTTAGATGAAAATCATTAGTCTTGTGCTCTTCTTATCATCAATTATTCTTGTGGTATCTTCCTTTATTTTGTTCTCTTAGTACCACACTAAGTCTTCTTCTAAATGTCGATTACTACTATTATCACCGATACTCGATAACAACATATGTTGGCGTAAAGAATGAATGAAATAACTAACCGACTGACTGACTGACTGAGTGACAGGTGGACAGAGACAGGCAGACAGATAAACAGACAGGAATACAAATCATCTAGATGAGCAAGGAGAGAACACAGAATGAAGTAATAGTATATGTGTATGCATATCAATCATTATGACTAACAACTTGGTGCATCATCATCATTATCAACATAGGACCAGGCATTACTGCGTAACCCTCGCCGACTTGCCACACCTCATGTCAACACATCAAGTAAAAAGGTAGTGAGGTGAAGGATGAAGATAAGTGAATGCAGTCAAAAGAAATATAAAGTACGAGAAGAAAGGAAAGAGGAGTGACAAAATAGTGAGATTCGGTATGGCGTTGTTAACATGAGGATAATGTGTGTGGGGGATACATCTGCGTCACTGACATCGGTTCTCAGCCATATCACCTACAGTCGGTCTCCAACCACTGGTTCCTCTTGTCCCACCTACCCCAACCACCTAGTCTGCATCATCCTACATGACTTAAACCAACAGTCAGAGACTTCATACATTGGTGCCATGTTTTAGTCTGGCCACCTCGGGCCTTTTTTTTTCCAGCCTGGAGATACATCTGCGCCACTGACGTCGGTTCTCAGCCATGCCATCACCTAGGGTCTCCAACCACACAACTTGGTTCAATTTTCAAGTGATCAGTAATCACAATCATAATATATAATGAGTAGATTGATTGTCGAAACGAAAAAAAACCATTTTCAAACGACTGACATAACATATCGAGTAGTGATGGCTGAGGTGTTGAAATAATTGAAGTGTTCAAAAACAACGCCGCTGACTTACAGTAATGCGATTTGTATTTCAATGGATTGTAGAAATGTTAAACGGAGGGAGATAAGCAATGACAACAACAAAAAAAAACACAGGGAGGAACCCAAGCTAATTCGCATATTCTGAAAGCTAATTCGACATTCATAATATATAACCAGTAACATGCGATGTACTCATCGACTAGTTTGCTTGAAGTAAACGCACAGAAGACCACCTTAGTACGGTGATGCAGAGCTTTTCCATTCCGTAGTAGAAGAATAAATTTTTAGGTACTTGCTCTTCATCTTTCCAGATGATCGACACTCAGAGAGCTTCGAATGAGAAAATCGTTGGTCATCTGATTAATAAACTGCTGTCAGACGTCTAGATGGGTTAAGATGTTTCTTCATAATAGTATCCATTAAAATGTTCTGTTGACAATCCTCAAAGTTCTACGCAACATAGGATAGTCTGTTGTCAGCAACCCATCATTCATCAATATAGCACCAGACATTACTGCATAACAATCCGAGTTGTTACACCTCACATCGGTACATCAAGTATGAGGCAATGAAAGGGAAAACCAAGAAATGAAAATTCCATCGAAAGAGATATAAAGTACTAAAACAGAGAAAGGAAGAATAAGAAAATGATGAGATTCGGTAAAGCGTCGATAAGATGAGCATAATGTGTGTTGTGGGGATACATCTGCACTAGTGACAATGGTTCTGAGCCATGTCATCACCAAGAGTCTCCAACCACTAATTTCTTTTGTCCAACCCCATCCCACCCTTACAGCCTAGTCTGTATCGTCCCCAACATGGCTCAAACCAACAATCAACCACTTCATGCATTTATACCATGTTTTAGTCTGACCGCCTCAAGCCAACACCCTTTTTTCCAGCCTGGATCTACTTCGACCAACATTGTGTGACGAGGTAGACGACGACTGGATAGATATACGTAACACATGTCCCAGCCACCCAACCAACCAACCACCCAGCCATCTCAGTCTATCAAGATTCACAACCATGTTAACTGACTTAATTCTTCTACCTCCATAAATCTCTACACCTGACTTCTGCATTGCTCACGTGGTGTGGTGTGGTGTGGTGACACCACGGAATACTGCGTATACTACGAAGGCAATGGTGGTGAAACACCTGAAGCCAGCTTTCTCA